CAAGCTACCAGTCATATTCGGGGAATTCTAGGCCGAGGGCTTGGACGAGGTGGGCGAAGGTGTCTTGAGACTCAAAGGTCCATGTTTGGTTGTGTTGTTCTGGTGGGAATTTGATGGTGATTTCGACTGCGGGGGAGTCTGTTGATGATGGTTCGAGCTCGTTGGCATGTTGATCAATATGTGGTTGTGTGTCGGTGGTTTCCATGATGAAGCCTGATGACGTGTGTGAGGCTCAAGAAGGTTGTGATATGTGAGATGAGGCTCAAAATGTTACAACGTTGGTGTCTTAAACAAGATGCCGAAGTGTTAGACCTGACGAAGTTGTCGCTGATGTTGTAGAAGTCAAAATTCACTGATACACCTCAACTGAGTCAAATGTGATGCGGAGGATAGTAAGAAGTATATTGTTGTGAGCTGTGAGTGAGATCCATCGCTCAATTGATAGGCATCACTAGCAAAGCTTCGATGACGATTCTAGAAACCCGTTTGTCAGGCCTGCTTTGTCATCCGCCACGAGGTCAAAGACTGAGCTCAGCTCACGGGCCCGTGCCAAACCACGGCAAACTGGCTGTGTTCACTTCATCTCATCTCATCAACTCATCTTGAATTGACAACTGAGATCACGACCGGCGATGAACAAAAGCTCACAAGGCGATCTTCTCGAAGCCAACGACAAGCCAATCAGCACCCTGCTGCCGCTTCATTCTGAGACGCCGCTCCAAGACCAAGTGAAACGCTCGGCAAGTGGAGATTCGCAGCGCGTCGAGAGAAACGGCTTCTATCCCAACGGTTTTGATATCAAAAGAAAAACGATCTGCACAATTGCTTGGCCGGCGTCAACTTCTCCAGGTGCCGCATTCTGACTTCATGATCTGTTCCTTCGGACGAGGGGTAAAAAAAGGTTAAACGGGGGACCCTGAAGATCTGTTCTCGGTTTGTGCCGCTCACCGACTTTGCTCTCTCGATACGAGCAGGTGGTGCACAGTCAGGTCACAGTCATTTTTCATTGCGGAGAGCCATCGACATTACGGCCCAGGTAGAGCATAAATTGAACCCGTAATAACTCAATTTCGACAAAAAAGAGGCCTAGCTCCAGCACAAGAACCCCTGAGCGGCTCCAGGACAGGCGGTGAACAGCCAATGAAGTGAAAGTCGACCCCCCTGATGCTGTGGTACCTGTGGGGGCTGCCATCTTGTGCCGCTAGGCCCGACCTGGCTCGCATCACCGGGGGCTGGCTTTCCTTCAAGATGTTGCCCCTTCCCCGTGTTGTTTTCTGCGACCTGCTTCTCCTCCTGAGCCACCATCTCGTGTTTCCGTTGTTGGGAACCAAGCCAGCCTCTTCAGGTCAAAACCATCTTGCATACCAACTGGCAGGAACGGGCCTTCCTGTCATTCTAGTCACTCCTTTGACACAACATTTTGAACCACTATTTGCTTTGAGCATCTTATTTTGCTCGTACTCGCTCCACGCGCGCGCAGACAAAACCCAACCAACCAAGTTTTCTAACCACCACATTCCAACTTTTACGAGTTCCAACCTTTCAAACCCAACCTGTCTCAGTAATAGTAGCTAAAGCACCCGCAACCATGCTTGTACGTCTCTCCGTCTGCCTACCGTCTCTCGCCGAAGCCGCCATGCTGACCTCTCGCAACAGATGCAATCCGCGCTCCTGGCGCTCGGCGCCACCGCCGTCGCCGCCCTCCAGCCCCTCGAGGTAAAGGGCCAGGACTTCGTCAACCCCAAAACCGGCAACCGCTTCCAAATCGTCGGCATGGCCTACCAGCCCGGCGGCTCGGCGGGATATGACCCCAAGAAGAAGCGCGACCCCCTCTCGGACCCGGACGTCTGCATGCGCGACGCCGCCCTCCTCCAGATCCTCGGCGTCAACGCCATCCGGGTCTACAACCTCAACCCCGACCTCAACCACGACGAGTGCGTCTCCATCTTCAACGCCGCGGGGATGTACATGCTCCTCGACGTCAACTCCCCCATGCCGGGCGAGGCCCTGACCTCGTTCGAGGTCTACAAGTCGTACTACGCCTCGTACCTCAACCGCACCTTCGCCGTCGTCGAGGCCTTCAAGGACTACCCCAACACCTTGGCTTTCTTCTCCGGAAACGAGGTCATTGACAAGGAGGAGACGACCGAGTTTGTTCCTTCCTACGTCCGCGCGGTCACTCGCGACTTGAAGAATTACATCAAGAACTGGTCTGACCGCAAGATCCCCGTGGGTTACTCTGCCGCTGATGTGCGCGAGGTTCTGTGGGATTCGTTCAGCTACTTTACCTGCTCGCTTCAGGGCGACAAGGACGACATGTCGATGGGCGACCTCTTTGCGCTCAACTCGTACTCTTGGTGCGGCGACTCGTCCTTTACGGAGTCGTCGTTTGACAAGCTGGTGGAGGGCTTTGAAAACACCCCCGTGCCCGTCTTCTTTTCCGAGTTTGGGTGCAACACCCCCTCCCCTCGCATCTTCACCGAGATCGGCAGCATTTACGGCCCGGACATGTACGACGTTTTTGCCGGCGGTATCGTGTACGAGTACACCCAGGAGCCTAACAACTACGGCCTTGTCAACATGACCGAGGAGGGCCCGGCTACCCTGATGAGCGATTTTTACTCTCTCCGGGATCAGTATGCGAAGCTTGACTTTAAGAAGCTGCAGAGCTTGAAGCCAAAGAGCAGCACGCCTAAGCCGGTGAGCTGCAGTCCCAAACTGATCACGGTTGATGGGTTCCAGAACAACTTTACGCTGCCGGTGCTGCCTCCGGGGGCGAAGGAGATGATTGACAATGGGATTGAGAACAAGCCGAAGGCGGGGAAGCTGGTGGAGATCAAGGACTGGAAGGTCAAGTATGAGGTTCGGAACGCGGACGGGACGGTGATTAAGGATTTGGCTGTTAAGCCTTTGGCGGATGATGAGGTTAATGGTGGGTTTCCTTTTTCTTTCCCCGTCTCCAAATCTTGTGTTGAGTTTTGTTCGCTGACATGTGAGATAATAACAGCCCCCGGTTCCAACACTGCTAACCTCAGCGCTGGGTCTGGGTCTTCTGGATCTTCCGGCTCGCAGGGCAGCACCAACGGTGGTGATGGTGATGACAAGGAGAACAGCGCTGCTGGCCATGGGGTCGGTGGTGGTGTCTTGGCTCTCGTGATGGGTGTTGCTGCTTTGGTTGCTGCTTTCTAAAGTGGATTTAACCTGTCATCATGTTTGTTTGGCTTTTTTTTTTGGTGGAAACTTTTAGTCGGCTATGATGATACCTGTTGTGTGTGTGTGTGTGTGTGTGTGTGTGTGTGTGTGTGTGTGTGTGGTATAGTTGGTTTTTTTAGAGGAGGAGGTGGCGGAGGAGGAGGAAGTTGTTTGTATCTAATGCTTGGTGTGTTTTTTTCTTTTCTTCTTTCTGGCACAAAACACAAGTTGAAAAAAAAAAACGATGGGAACACACACCGTATGATACCCCTTTTTTGCGCCGTTGCTTTCTTTTTGAAGCGTGGAGCCTGGTTGATAGAGGGGTTGGATGGGGGTGGTTTGTTGTATATATTTCGTTTCTGCAAGTTGTGGTGGAGAGGTTGGTTTTCTGTTGTATGAAGGGGGATTCTGTCGATATTTCGGAAGGTGGCGGCGGTTGGAAATGAAGGTTGCACAAAAGAAAGTTAAAGTTGCCTGGGGAGATTTTAAAGATGATGATTCTGGTAACGAGCTGTGTTGGTTTATAGTAAAAGAAGAGGAAGAAAGAATGTATATCATGTGTACCGTACCCCCTACTTGGCTGTCATGCTCACTGCCATGTCTTTTGTTGTGGTGTGCCTGAATCATATCTTACGTTTTCAACCTAACCTTGTTTATTTACAGTTCTCTTATTGAAACCCTGGTTTGGGGTCGTGGGTGCAAAAGGTGTGTTTTGGCTGACCTTGGGCCCATCCAAACATTCTCGGTCCCTTGAATTTATAAAACCTAGGCATCAGTCTGGCACTCGACAACATCTTTCACATTCAAGCCTCAGGGAATCTTGGTTTCAGATATGAGAACCAAATCTAGCTATTCAATGCCTCGCAAACTATGGATCAATGACCAAATCAAACACCACAGCAAAGCAATCCAAACAAACACTAGGAAGCGTACGTATTTCAACTTTTCCGCTCCATCTAGCTTGCCAGCCAAACAACAGAAAAATCCCAAAACAAGAACAGCAGCAACTAGCTACACTACATAGCGCTTCCTCGTTTTATTATACTTTCTAAACAAAGGGGTTTGTGACAAATAAACAGAACCGTTTCCCTTTCCATTCTTATCCGTTCTCCCCTCCTACCCGCCCACCCGGCATGAAAGATGCGCCCCAATTACAAAAAAAGAAAACAGAAGAACACGGCAGAGAAGAGACTGGATAGACATGGAAGGGTGCTACCTAGGTCCTCAAAATGAATTTTTCATCATGACATTCATACTGGCACATTTAAGCCTTGAACTCCTCGATACCGGCAGCCTCCCACTTGCCGGGGATGAGGGCAAGGGGCACGATACCGCTGACGTGCATCTCGGGGCCGAAGATCTTGGCCTGGAGGCCGAGTTCTTGTGTCGCGGCCTTCATGTTCTTGAGACCCTCCTGGTAGTTGGGGCCGGCACGACGGACCCAGATCTGGACGTTGTGCTCGTTGAGAGCCTTGGCGTACTCTCTGAGGGCCTTGATCACACCCTTGAAGGTGGAGGCAACGTTGGTGAAGTTGGCAATACCACCACCGATGAACAGGACCTTGCCCTTGTCGCTCAATGGCGCACGGAGCATAAGGTCGAGGACAGTGCGGGCATAGTGGTAGGTCTGGGACTCGGTGGGAGCACCAGAGTACTCACCATAGTTGGCAAGCTCGTCGGCGAAACCAGCAGAGGCAATGGCATCGGCGTAGACGACGGAAGCACCACCACCAGCGACCAGAGTCCAGATTCTGCCGTTGGGGTTGAGGACGGTAAGCTTGAGGGAAGCGCCAGTCTTCGCGTCAAGCTCAGCGATGTAAGCCTCCTCCTTGCTGAGCTCACGGCCGAAGGGAGCAGGGAACTCGATTGGGGGACCGGCGTCAATGTTGACGGAACCGTTGGCTGATGATGGGGCAGTGATGCCGAGAGCAGCTGGCGATCTGGCAATGGCCCACTTCACACCGCACTCGAAGTCGGCAGTCTGATCGAGCTTGGCAGCCAAGTCCAAGAAGTGAACGCTGGCGGAAGTGGCATCCTCGTTGGGAATGACCACAAGGGGGTTGATCTCCATGTATGTGAACTGGCAGTCAACATAGACGGCATAGAGACGGACAACTAGGGTTTCTTGGTAAGCAGATGCACCGCAGATAAGTTCCCCCCCCCCAAAAAAAATAAGCTTGTCAACTTACTGAAGTCAACCAGGACATTGTGAAGACCCTTGGGGATCTTCTTCAGGAGCGTAGCGGCAATCTCCTCGTTGGAGGGGAACTCGGAGAGATCCACGGGGATGAGGATCTTCTCGGCCTTCTCGTCGACATCACCAACATCAACACCGCCCTCGTGGGTGAAGAGAATCCAGTCGCCCTGATATCATGGTCAGTTATAGGTTCTTTTTGGAGTTGCATCGGTGTTGGAGCGGCGTGCACAAGCAACAGGTGCAAGTGAGACTTTGATGGCGCCAGATCCACAGCATAACCTGGTTTAGCCTTCCGCTCGTCCGGCTCGGTAGCCTGTATCAGGCGGCCCGCAACGCCAGGACCGGCATGAACGATCGCTGCAGATTATAAACCCCCAGAAAATCCCGGTGTTTGCATTCTGGCTTTGTTTTCTTCATCTGCCATGCGATTTTTCAACATCCGCATCCTGCGTTGACAACACCACCCTCAACGATTTCCGATTGGCGATTGGGGTTTTGCCAAGCCTGGCTTCATTCAATTGGAGATGCACACAACCAACTTACATCGCGGACTGAGTTGATCTAAGGGATTCGTTAGCGCCAAATTCCTCCGTTACGAAACACACCAACCAGCACGCGCCACACTTACGTTGATATAGTACTCGGTGTTGGCGGGGTGAGGCACAAAGGGCTCGACCAGGAATTGGCGGAGGACACCCTCGACATGCTCAACCTGCTGTGTCTTGCCAGCACGCTCAGCGATCCACGCCTTCGCCTCGGGCCATGTCTTGTTGAGAGCGAGAAGACCGCTCTTTCCACGGCGCTTGATCAGCTGATCGGGCTTCGCAACGAACTTGGCATCCGACTGGAGGAGCCACGGGTATGTGACCTCAGCCTGGTCAAGAACGGTAGAGACGTCCTGGTCCTCGGGAAAGTGAAGAGAGGCGAGTCTAGGAGGGGGGTTGTGCTTGGTAGGGGGAGGGAGAGTGCTGGGCTTGATCACAGGGGCGCGAGTGAGGTGGTAGTTGATGATGGCCTTGCCATCGGCCTCGAGAATGCTCTTCGCCGACATGATGTGAGTTGTGTGGTTGTTCCTTTCGTCTTCTGTTTCTTGAGAGTTTGCAGTGGTCAGCTTTGTGGCCCGGTGAAAGTGAAGGAGGAGGATGATGATGATGGAGGCGGGAAACGCATTGAATGCGAGGGGTTGCTCACCTAAAGTTGATTGAGCTACCAAGCTTCTTCCCGAGTGGGTGGACTGGGCGAGTGCTCAAACGAGGGGCAATTCGTTAAAGGGATGAGGACACCGGGAGAGAGAGGACGAGATGGAGGAGAATGTCGAAAAAAGGAGAGTGATTTGGAAAACGAGCAGCAACTAACTTCTTTCACTTGTTGCTCTGGGCGGGCACGCAAGGGAATGGGACCGTCGCTTCCTTGGGATTTGGGTTGGGGGGGATGGGCCAGAAAAAAGGTACCAATGTCCCGCCCGCCAAAATCAAGCCAAACCATTGGGGTTGGTGGGTTGAACCCAAGCGGGGCAATTGTCCTGGGGGCGGTCAAGGGACCCGAGGTACCAATACTTCGGTGACACCTCCAGCTCCCAAGCCTACCTAGCTAACCCCGTCGAGGGGGGGACCCGACCGAACCCTGCATTCTGTCCATCCTGTCCTGTTTCTCCATCTTTCTCTCTCTCTCTCTCCTTTCTTTCCGCCCTCTTCACCTTGAGAACCAACCTCAAATCACTGAGTCTCGATGGTTTTGAGTTTCTGGATCCTGCGGAGGCACGCAGGCGGCGCAGAGCTACCTGACTGCGACGACAGTGGGACTTCTCGTCGTGAAACTGAGGTGCTGTTCGTGCAATAGGTGTGCGCAGTAAGGTGCATACGATACGTCCCTGGCAATGCCCCGACTGCCATCCATCTTCCATTCACCTCAGCGCATCTCGCCGAGGTCTGAGTCTCTGTCTGCGGCTGTGGATTCCCTGCATCACGGCGTCCGCAAGGCGGAGGGTGTTGGGGATCATCCGGCCCCGAACAGCAGCTCCCGTCCTCCTGGGGTCATCCTGTATCACGGGCTCCCGGGCTGACATCTTGTCCTGTCCTGTCTCGAGCCTGACGGTCTGACGGGTGTCTCTCTTTTCTTTTCTTTTCCTTTCCTTTCCTCACGACAGCAGCAACAGGTGTTCTGCCATCAGCCTGCCATGTGTACACGTCCGGCTCGGTCGGCCCTTGGCCTGGTTCAATGTGTATGATTGTGTGTGGGTGCGTGGGTGCCTGTAAAAATTAGCTGGATCTTTTACGACCTTCTCCTGTCCCCGCCCGCCGTTGCCGATCGGGCCCCGGTCTCCATACCGTCTCCAGGTCAGATCACAGTTGATCCCGTCTCTCGAGAATGTGGGTTATGGAGAGCTTATGGAGGTTACCCCGCGCTGGCAAGTGTTCTCGGCACCGTGTTCAGCAGGCCATGCCTGTTGACCTTGACCTTGAAGGACTGTCTCATATGTTCCTCCCATCTTGATCTCTCTCTGTCTCATCATGGGAGCACGGTCGATTGTTGATGATGATAAAGAACATTTTGGAAGAGTGTCGGGGGCTTGGTGCCAGCGAAGATCGGATCATGCTGTGGCTCTGGTGGCTCCGGGCCTCGCAGGTACCTGTACATGGGCCGCACCAGACCTTGCCAAGGGACGGCGGGGTCCACCCTCGACCGCCCGCTGTCAAAGTTCGCTGGCCAGAAAAGCGCAGGTCTGGCTGGAATTGGTGAAAGTCCGCTGGGCGATCGGACATGATGCGACCAGGGTGTGCGAAAAAGAGTTGGGGAAACTGGCGGTGTTTGTTGGATGGTTGACCTGGTGTCGGTCCAATTAGCTACGGCTAGCGCCCGCAACATTTCTTGGGATTCCAGCAAGCTAGCTGTCGCCAGGGCACTGCTTCACTAAACTGCGGAGCTCTCGCCCACCTCACGCCCTGCAGCTCTCGAGTAGCAGGTAAACCCCCCCCGAGAGCCCGTTCCCATCAACGAGAGAGGGACACAAGGACCGACAAAAAACCTCCCACCCAAAATCCAACCCACCTCGGCCACCACCCACCTCTCCTCTCCATCTTTTCAGAGAATCACTTTCTCCTTTCTCTCCTTTTCTGCCCTTCTACATTTCCACCATCACCACCCTCACCCTCCTCCCTCCTCCCCTTCTCTTGCTGTTTTCTTTTTCTCTTGTTCCAAGAAGGCAACAGAACCCACATCTTCACCACAGCCAGACAGACGCAGAACCCACCATGTCTCCCGCTGCCTCCAACGGCACCAATGGTGCGAATGGTGCTTCCAACCCAACTGGCGGTCTGTCTGCCAACGACAACATTCGCAGATTCGCTGCCCCCAGCAGGCCACTGAGCCCTCTCCCCGCCCACGCTCTCTTCAACGACAAGACGAGATGCTTCGTCTACGGCATGCAGCCCCGCGCCGTGCAGGGCATGCTCGATTTCGACTTCATCTGCAAGCGGGCGACCCCCTCCGTCGCCGGCATCATCTACACATTCGGCGGCCAGTTCGTCAGCAAGATGTACTGGGGCACCAGCGAGACTCTTCTCCCGGTCTACCAGGAGGTGCCCAAGGCCATTTCCAAGCACCCCGATGTTGATGTCGTTGTCAACTTTGCTTCCTCCCGCTCAGTCTACCAGTCCACCATGGAGCTGATGGAGTACCCCCAGATCAAGACCATTGCCATCATTGCTGAGGGTGTCCCCGAGCGTGTAAGTGTTTTCGTCTCAGCAGCGATTGGTCGAGAGACTGACGGTTTGGCTTCCTCCAGCGTGCTCGTGAGATCGCCCACATTGCCAAGAAGAAGGGCGTCACCATTATCGGCCCTGCCACCGTCGGTGGCATCAAGCCCGGCTGCTTCAAGATTGGTAACACTGGTGGTATGATGGACAACATTGTTGCTTCCAAGCTCTACCGCAAGGGTTCCGTCGGCTACGTTTCCAAGTCCGGTGGCATGTCCAACGAGCTCAACAACATTATTGCCAACAACACGGATGGTGTCTACGAGGGTGTGGCCATTGGTGGTGATCGGTACCCCGGCACCACCTTCATTGACCACCTCTTGCGTTACCAGGCCGATCCTGGGTGCAAGATCCTCGTCCTCCTCGGTGAGGTCGGTGGTGTCGAGGAGTACAAGGTCATTGATGCCGTCAAGCAGGGCATCATTACCAAGCCCATTGTCGCGTGGGCTATCGGTACCTGCGCCAGCATGTTCAAGACTGAGGTTCAGTTCGGCCACGCTGGTGCCTTTGCCAATTCTCAGCTCGAAACTGCCAAGATGAAGAACGAGAGCATGAGGGAGGCCGGTTTCTACGTCCCCGAGACCTTCGAGGACATGCCCGCTCTCCTCGGGCAGGTGTACGAGAAGCTCGTCAAGGAGGGCACCATCAAGCCCCAGCCCGAGCCCGTTGTGCCCAAGATCCCCATCGATTACTCGTGGGCCCAGGAGCTTGGTCTCATCCGCAAGCCCGCTGCCTTCATTTCCACCATTTCCGATGACCGTGGCCAGGAACTCCTCTACGCTGGTATGCCCATCTCGGACGTGTTCAGGGAAGATATCGGTATCGGTGGTGTCATGTCTCTGCTGTGGTTCCGCCGCCGCCTCCCACCATACGCCTCCAAGTTCTTGGAGATGGTCCTCATGCTTACCGCTGACCACGGCCCCGCCGTGTCGGGTGCCATGAACACCATCATCACCACCCGTGCCGGTAAGGACCTGATCAGCGCTCTCGTCTCTGGTCTCCTCACCATCGGTTCTCGTTTCGGCGGTGCCCTTGACGGTGCCGCCGAGGAGTTCACCAAGGCCTTTGACAAGGGCCTCAGCCCCCGTGAGTTCGTCGACAGCATGCGCAAGGCGAACAAGCTCATTCCCGGTATTGGTCACCGTGTCAAGTCCCGCAACAACCCCGATTTGCGTGTGGAGCTCGTCAAGGAGTACGTCAAGGCCAAGTTCCCCAACCACAAGCTTCTCGACTATGCGCTCGCCGTCGAGACCGTCACCACCTCCAAGAAGGACAACCTCATTCTCAACGTCGACGGCTGCATTGCCGTCTGCTTCGTGGACCTGGTCAGAAACTGCGGTGCCTTCACCGCCGAGGAGGCCGAGGACTACCTCGGCATGGGTGTGCTCAACGGTCTCTTTGTTCTTGGTCGCAGCATTGGTCTTATTGCCCACTACCTCGATCAGAAGAGACTGCGTACTGGCCTCTACCGCCATCCTTGGGATGATATCACCTACCTTCTTCCTTCCCTCCAGCAGTCTGGTCCTCCAGGCGCCGAGGGCCGTGTTGAGGTGCAGATGTAAGCGGTTTTTGGGCATTGTTAGACAAATCAAAAGTTGGCGCGCAAACGGACATGGGTTTAGAGGAAACTACACGTTTTTTTACGTCAACGAATGGAATTATTTGGTCATGATTTTTATTTTTTTTATTTTTTTTGAACTCTGTATTGTCTGATGTCTTTTCGTCTTTTGTTTGCTATCCATGCAACATGTGGAAAAGATGCTAGACATTGGGGGGGTTGTGTACGGATGGGTGGTGGGGACGGTCATGGATGGGAAATCAAGGGATGGGATTTGAACACCTCTTGTTGTGATTTTTTTAGTTACATAGCTAAGCACTTTAATGAAGATATGGAAGTGATTTGTTGCTGTACTTGGTTTACCGTGAGAGATTTTGTGCTTGTGATGGTCCATGATTTTCGTCCGAAAGTGTATCTTCATGAATACCATCCGTGAGTGAATACCATCCCTCGGTGAACGGTTGCGCCAGGATACTCGAGATGGCAGTTCCCAAGCAAGCTGGGAGTCAATTCCGTCCCTGCTTCTTGTGACTATTTGGAAGAGGGACATGCACAGTACCTCTGTCCCCCGACATGCATGGTGATCAGATGGGGACCTGCTGTGTTGGACATGATGCCCGTCATCCCGCAGTGCCTTGCCTCGTGGTATGCAGCTCCGGTGTCATGATAGTCACTGCCTGCCCACATGGGACCAGGGTGAGCTTCACATGCTCCTTATCTTGACTATGTTCTCGGGCTGTTCCTGCAGCTTGCATTGCGTCGGGGTCCAACATTCAGGAGGTACATCCTCCACATGGCGAACTAGGGGATTATAACGAAAGAGGAATGTGTGTCGACATGTTTTACATTTTGTTGCTATGGTGGTGAGTGAAGTTGTATCTCATGTACGCCAAGGTTCTGGAAACGCAGTGAAGATGCTTGCTCGAGAAAGGTTGAGGCTAGTGATGTAGTATTTGGAATTGGCTTTTGACGATGCGGGTGAGCGGCCTTCTTGGCTTTGGGATGGCGCCCTCGATCAAGGATATCAAGATCGTGGGGGTCTCTGTCTCCCTTATTCTGTGTAGAATTTGGAATTCTGGACTTCAACTTTCCCCATTCTGTTCAATCATTGCGAACACATCGCCAAGTTGATACCCCACGATTCTGATGTCGATAAGTGGTGGTGGTGTTACAATGGCGGGGGTCGTTTGAGAGCTCACCTCCTATGGTTGGATAGATTTCCGGGCTGGAACTACTGTCCACTGACAAATGTTGAAATGCCGGCTTGGACGGCCAGACAGACAGACAAACAAACAAACAAACAAACAAACAGACAGACAGACGAGCTGTTGCCAATTTTGGCGGTTAGGATTTGGCTTGGATGAATGTTTCCCCCCCCCCCCCCCTCCTCGCATCCAGGTGGAACCGCAAGCTTTCCTTGGGTTGTTGGTTGTTCCAGGGTCTCGTGTTGAATGGAACCTGCGGAGTTGTGCTTTGTGTCAAAACAACTCGAAAGTAGCTGTACATACCAATGTACTGGTACTTTGTCGTCGGCCTCAAAGCTACCTACCCGCAAAGGAGCTGAATCGCCGAACTGCCCGGGGGACGGGAATGCTGGTGATGGTGGTGGTTGATGGGTGGGTGTGTACTCCGTGTAACCCAAGCCCCATGGATTTCCTCACCATTCTCTGATCGTTGCAGTATAATCTCATTCTCCTCATCCTCAGCATTGCTAAAAAGTCCTCGGCTCGGTCGGGTCGGAACCATCTGACATCCGTACCATCCTCAATGACGGAGCTCCCGGCGGCGGTGCCAAGTCATTTCAAGCTGGGCACCTTGAGAACTTGAAAGCGGGAGCTATAGTGGGGAACCTTGAACCCCCCACCAAAAGCTCCGGTCCCAAAAAGCGGAAAAGCCCGGCAGAATTTCTTCCGTGGTTTTGAGTTTGGGCGGCTCCGGGGTTGGGGTTGGACTGGGATGGGTAGGCCTTGGCATGAATCGCTGATTGACCCAGCTATCGCGACTGTTTTGCTGCCGATTCCGAAGATTGTCAGTTCGTCAACGAAGGTCCGAAGAGATAGTAAATCACACGAGTCGAGTCGGAGATTGGATTCGCGCCGCTGGTCGATAGTTTGCTGAGAAGGAGAAGAAGGGAAAAAGGAGATAACAAAAAGGTTTGTTCTTGTCGTCGTCGAGCAACCGACTTTTTGATTCCCCAGATCTGGAGGGGGATTCACACCTCGGAGAGAACACCCTACCAATTTCCCCTCCCGTTCAGAACGCAAGCTAACCCCCTCCCAGCTCCCACAACCACCACAGCCACACATCCCACCGCCATCATGTCCTACTTCCGCATAACCCTCCACCGCTCAGCCATCGGCCTCCCCCAGCGCACCCGCGACGTGTTATCTGCTCTCGGCCTCCACAAGCGCTCCCAGACCGTCTACCACCCCGTCGAGCCCCAATTCGCAGGCATGATCATGAAAGTGAAAGAACTCGTCAAAGTCGCCGAGGTCGACCGCAAGCTGGAAAAGTGGGAGGTCAAGGCTGAGAGGAGACCCGACAGCGGCTTCTACTTGGAAAAAATGGCGCCGAGGATGGAGGATGGGGGGCAAAAGGTTGGGTCGAGGGTTCTGGCTAGACTTCGGGGGGAGGAGGGCGGGGAGATGACAGTTGAGGGGGTTAGGACTGAGGCGGGTGGACAGGTTAGATTATGAATGGGGGATGAAAGGGGGAGGAAAGAGGGAAGGGAAGGTAAGGGAAGGGAAGGGAAGGGGAAGGGAATGTATGATATTGTTGGGGGATACCAAAAGGGAAATAAAGGAAAATGAACGCATGACACTACCGCTCGAATACGTGATGTCGGAGTTGGAGGTGAGAGGAGAGTTCATCAAATGGGTGCTCTCCAGAGATGCCACCAACACATTGACACATTACCAACTCATATACCTAACCTCTCTTCAACCCCCCAAAGAGACCAGTAAAAACCACATCAAAACCACAAGCAAAAGCCAGCACAAAGCACGTCACATCACCATCACCACACCCCAACAAACAATAATTGAGAACAGCCTCTTATAATTCGCCTCTTCCCTACCCATCAAAAAAAAATCCCAAGAACCCCGAAAGCCACAGCAAGTTTTCCCAAGTAAGTCCAAGCTCACCCTTGTACCCTCCTTGTCCACCAACCACAGCTTCCCTGGCTCCTATCAAATGCTTCTTTCTGAGTGAATAAAACCGAGACCTTTCCCTCTGATTGACCTGTCGAAAACGAAAAACTGGCCTTGTTTTTGCCTCACGGCTTGCTTGCCCAGTCATGATGAGCTGATGATTACCTGGATCCTAAAAGTGCACAATAGTCGAAAACAAAAAAAAAGACAGAAAAAAAAAAGACAACCCTTCCCAGAGAACCACCCAGTTGATATCAATCCTAACCCCCCTTGAACAACGGAAAAATGAAGCCCAGAGAGAAAAAGGAAGAAAATGTCGCTTGGTGAAATTAAAAACTCGGGCTTTTGGGTTGTGCAGTGTGTAGAAGACGTTGTGGTGTGCAGTGTGATGAATTGATTGACGAAGCAGTCTTTCCCTCTCTACCTCTCTCTTCTTCCCTGACCATCCTAGTCGCATCTAACCAGAGTGGCAGATCTTTCGGATATTAATCAAGCAAAAAGAGTGGCCAAGCTACACCGAAGTGAAGCAGATATGTCCAGAGGAATTTGTGGAGGAGGAAAAACTCAAGTTTGTGTGGTGATACTGTAGATGTGGCTGATGTCGAAATCGAGATGGTGACTTTGATAAGTGATGAAGAATGAACAAGGCTTTTGCCCGTGGGTGGCAAGTAAAATACCAAAGAAAAAGCCGATGTCGGTTGCTGATACCCTCACTCAAGTGGATAACCCGACGACTGCCTCTTCAGCCGTATCCATCGCTGTCATGCCAGACGCTTGCACCTCTGCATCGCAATCATCTAATCCGATGAGTCGGGCGAGCTGAGCTCCGACAGGGTCGACGACGCCGCGCTAGGGGATGCAAGAGGAGGAGCATTATCCTAAGTGCTCTTCGCCGCATCCACGTAGTCATTGCCGGGCTGCTCGTACTCGTTGACGAAGTAGCGAGAATGCTGACGGGAGAACCACTTTGTGAACGTCTCCAGCTCGTCGCGGAGGCGGTTGACGGACTGCTGATCCATGTTGGTCTGCGCGATAAGCTCGGGAAGCGAGACTGTATACGGGATGTGGTTAGCACGCTCCTCAATTGTGCAGGAGTGTAGGAAGAAAACATACCAAGGAGACGAGTCAGGTGCTCAGCACCGTAGGTGTCGCTGGCACAAGTGTGGTTGGGGTCGGAGGAGTTCCACAACTGGTGCATCTCATGGTATTGGCCACGCTCGAATCTACGATATCAGTCAGTCGACGGCCTACCAAAAGAGCTCAAAGAACGACATGCCTGTAGAGCAGAATGCGGCCCAAGCAGCGATCAAAGTACTCGCGGAGACCCGAAACAGTCTCGTCCAAGATGTCATAGGCAGATGAACCCTCCTCACGGTGAGGGCGCTCGTAGGCGAGATAGTCGTCCAGAATCTCGCTGACGGGATGAGCATGGGGCAGGGGCACCAGTTGCTGGTTCTTGGTGACGTTCTCCCAGTCATCGACCAAGAGAGCCTTCATGTGGTCGGGGAGAGGGATATTGATCGAGGGGCGGTTGTGGAAGTTGTCCTCCTATGTAACATGTTAGCTTGCTGTATATTTCAGAAATCAAACCAAACCAAAGAAGCGCCCTGCCACTGGACATAGGATGTGCTATCAATCCACTCGGATCGATAGTTTGGACGAATGATAAAGAAAAAGCTAAAGGCTGTATCCTCCAAACGCTTGTGTCGAAGGTAGTCGTCATGACAGTTAGAAACATACAGAATCGGGAATCAACCGATAAGCCCTGGGGGCCAACACCTTGTCTGAAGAGATAAACCAGCCACGAGGAACAGCAAAAACCCGCTCAAAGGCAAGCGGGGAGGTGTCCTCGCTAGCCTCGTCGACTACTTCCCCGCAGGACAGAATGAACTGCTGGATGTTGAACACCATCCTCTGGAGCTTGCAATGAAAAACTCGGGTCGCTTGTTCGAACTTCAAGAGGGTGTCGGCAGCACCAGGCTGCCCAGACTTGAAGTGAGGCACCCGGTCCGGGTATCGAACCTCGGCAGGGAGTCCGGCGAGGGGGGGGTTGAAGCTGGGGTCGATATACTCCCAGTTGCGTTCAATCTGCGCCATCACCTGTGGGGGTACGCCCTGCTGTCTGGCTTTGAGAATCTTGGGGTGATTGATGCCAATCTTGCCCTTGTCGGAGCGCTGAGACTTCATCACGTAGCGATCATGAAAATTGATGCGGCCGTTTTTAACATAGACCGAAGTCGC